AAAAAAAAAAAAAAGACTCTGAGATAAAGATCACTGCTAGGAAGAGGGGAATTTACCCCTGATAAACTGTTTATTATATTGGTAGTTCTAATGAATTCGTAAAACATATACACAATGCTTTATAGAAATAAAAATTTGCCAAATTATTACAGGGTAAATATTGATGATGGTGATTATGATGGAACATATTAGTTTTCCCTCTTGACTTCTTATTAATGATTGCCTACTTTTCTTCTAGAAGTTTCCTTTCCTGAGAAAGGCTGTTGCAGCATATTAAGTTATTGAGTATGAAATGTCCAATTTCCTTAAATACTAAGTTTGACAGTCAGTATTTCTGGCATTTGATGTTGAAACTTCTTGATTTATTTTTATTCTGAAGGTGCATCCTCCTTCCTTCAAATGCATGTTTTGGCTAGTGATTATATTTCAGTTTTTTTACAACTGTACTTGTGAAACCACGGATAAGTCAAAAATTTATGTTATTTTTGAATAAGAGTTTCACTGTGGAAACAATGCAATACAGCTGGAAATATCAACAAAATCTGTGGGAAGGATGTGACTAATGAATGCCCTGCACATCAGTGGTCTGAGAAGTTGTGTTCTGTGACCTTCATCTTGAAAATGAGCCTCAAGGGTGAAGTGAGACCAGTGTGGATAATGAGGACCTAAAAACTGTCATGAAGCAAATCCACCTCAACCTACGTGGGAATTATCAGCAAGGTTTGATGTTACTTTTCCGGCAATATTGGAGCACTTAATACAAATTGGCAAGCCCCTTAACTTCGAATTAAATGATCATCAGAAGAGAAATCATCTTAAAGCGTGCCTTTCTTCACTGTCATGACCTAGAGGTGAACCATTTCTAAGCTGCATTATTACCTGTGATGAAAACTGAATTCTTTTTGACTGTCACCAGTGTTTGGCAAAACGGTTGAATAAAAATGAATTGCCAACACACAGTCCAAAACTGAATATTCATCCATAAAAGCTGTTGGTGTCTGTTTGGTTGTCTAGGGCTGGTATTACCCATTGCATCTTCATGAAAACTGGTCATTTGATGACACCGGATGTCTCCTGCAACCGACTGGGTGAAGTGATATGGATGGCTGTGACTAGGCAGCCAAGATTGGTCAGTAGTGACGGGTCAGCCCGCTGGCAAGACAAGGCTCAGTACATGTCCCAAAAACAATGCTGCTCAAACTACAGAGGCTGGACTTGGACTTGGAAATTCTCTGCCATCCACATCACTAGACCTTGCACTGCCTGACTTGCACTGCTTCCAGGGTATTTGGACTGCTTCTTGCAGAGAAAAATATTCAGTTCTCAAGGAGCTGTGGAAAATGTTTTCAGCAATTTCATTGCCGCTTACTCTCCAAGCTTCTTCACTGCTGGCATAGACAAACTACCTACTGTTGAGATGGGAAAACTGTGTAGGTAGCTTAGGCACACACTTTGATTCAACTAAACTTTTGATTCAAAATTGGACATTTCATATTTAATGAATACTTTTCCTCTGTCAATATAGCTGTAATTCACCAAACCATCTTAAACTGAAAACGTTTGCTATGAAATGTCTGCAGAATGTTATCATTTTCTAGCCAGAGTCTCACTTGTTGCCCTGGCTGGAGTGCAGTGGTCTCATCATAGCTACTGCATCCTCAAACGACTGGGCTCCAGCCATCCTCCTGCCTTAGCCTCCCGAGCAGCTGGAACTACAAGCCTGCTTCACCATACTTGTCTAATTTCTTAAGCTTTTGGGGGGTAGAAATGGAGTCTTGCTTGTGTTCAGGTTGGTTTCAAACTCCTGTCCTCGAGCAATCCCCCCTCCTTGGTCTCCAAGAGTACTAAGATTACCAATGTGAGCTGCCACGTCTGACTCAGAAAGTTATCATTTATTATTTTTCTCAAAATAGTATAATTTTATTAAAAAGGCATAGGTGGCTATGAAAGACACAAAAGAAAACTATGTAATTAAAATGTGTAAACCTCTGTAATATTCTGAAATTTTAAAAAACCAAATCAGAGGTGAAGGGATTATTCATTCTCTTAGCTTTTATAGTGAACTGTGGATACTGTATGTGTTCCAAATTTGGAGTAGAGATTGAATAAGTACCTGAATTGTCAGGGTCAACTATGCTTTTAAACACAGTTCTCGGAATGTCTTCAAGAGAGATGTAAGAGTTCTGTTCAGTGTGTGACTCTGGACAAAAATGTGTTGCTCACTTTACGCTCAGTGGAGATTTCATCTAACCATCGGCTATGTATCCGTTTTATTTGGTTCAATTTTTGGTATTTCTGATATTACTTTGTTCTAAACCCAAAACAGTAATATTGAACAGCACATTAAGGCAAGATACTTCTTAAAAAGTCCCTGGAAGTAGATTTAAGTATGCTAATGAATAGACAGGAAAAATCAGGGGAAAAGTGCCCTTCAACATTTCTTAACATGTAGAATTATATTCAAGTATCAAAAAAAAAAAAAAAAGTTAGAAAGTTACCGATAATTTGGCTTGTCTATATAGTTGTGTATACAGTTGTCTATTTTAAATTGCACATGAACTTTATGGACTCCCTGTATAGTTTTCTTATATTACTGCCTCTCAGGTTAATTCAATCACAGGGCAAAAAGATGCCTGTGGTTTTTTGTTTGTTTGTTTGTTTGTTTGTTAGCAATTACATGTAGTTTCATTCCACTATTTCTCAAATATTCTTTTTCTAATAAAGCCTTCTTTATATTAATGGGTAGTTATTGATTTTTAAATTGCAATTACAAATTTCTTAACCTCTAAAGTTCAGTAAGCTCTATACCTTTTAGCTCCTTTATTGGGAGCAAAATCACAAAGTTGAAGCATTGGTAGTAAGCTGATGAGTTGATGTAGGCGGTATCCAGTTTTTCTCTGGTGTGTAAATCAATAAAGCTATTGTGATGGCTTTCAGGTCAATGATGTAGCTCCTGGAAATAGACACAGCTTTTAGAACAGACATCTATGATATGTGTCCTTTGCACTAACAGATATGTTCCTGCCCCACATTTTGATTGTAAAGGTTAAATTATTTTCAGAAATGCCAAATTCCAAAAGATAAGGGACCTGAATAAATAACAACATGACCTTGAACTGTGTAAAACAAAAATGGTGAAGTCATGTTGTCTTATCTTCCAGGGGCTTATGTGCTCCAGGTGAAGGCCACAGACGCAGACGACCCGACCTATGGAAACAGCGCCAGAGTCGTTTACAGCATTCTTCAGGGACAACCTTATTTCTCCATTGATCCCAAAACAGGTAAATTTTGTATTGGAGGCAACATTATCACCACCTCGTCAAATATTTAAACTTTAATTAAATCTTGGCATGGGGAATTGCATATTCTAACCCAGCAATAAAGATTCAGTGCACCACTCAATAAGCAGAGAAGATAGAACCTCTCCTTGCTGCTACAGAACTCTTTTACTTTAATTGAACTTTCTGTAAATGTAAACCTTTTCAGAAATATTTATAAGGTCAGAATTTAATTTTTAAGAAGTTTCTCTTTATCTCATTTAACATTTTCATATATATACATATTTAATTCTTCTGGCTAAAATAGCTTCTTATTTAAAGTTTCTTGGTGGGGTTAAACTGTATTCCTCTTTGGCCCTCTTAATGCATGGAAAGGTCTTGGACCTTCTATTGGCATCTATATGAAAGTTATGGATGGTTGGTTTAGATGAATATAGACTTATGTTGATAGCAGAAGGGAATGGTGACTCAACAAACTTGAAACACCAAGATCATGGATTCTGTTGTATCTTTGAAATCAGTTCCATTTATAAATAGAAAAGAAAAAGTTAAATTACAGTTTTCAAAGACACATATATTAAAATATGAGTAGCATAGAAATAGCAGAGGGATTCACAGAATTTGTCTTCTCCTTTAAACAAAGCGAGATCCCTCTATTTCCAGACACTCTGCTTTTGAATGCTGAATATTTTGTTAAGGAGATTTAACACTTTGTCTAGTGATCAAAGTAGTCCGTCCTTGTCACAGTTAAAGCAGGAACTCCATAAGGACAACTATTTTATCAAATCACATAGTATGTTGTAATATATTTTAAATTGAATTTAATACTGTTTATGATGTGGGATTAAAGTAATGGGAAATAATTAACATCTTGGATTAATAACTTCTTACAATTATAAATTAACCTATAAAGAGCAATGTTAATTTGGAAAGTATATATTGCAGACACTATACATTCACATGGGTTAAAAATTTATATTTCCTAAGCGTGTGCTAAAATCTAGTATAGCAATTAGATGCATGTTAATTAATAATCATTTATTAATGTCTCCTAGAAACATAAAGTCTATTGATGTTTCTCAATTAAAGTAAAAGTGCAGAATCTACAAAACCTTCCTCCAACTGACCCTGCCATTTTCTCTTCACATCTCACCCTATTCATCAAGCTAACTGAGGGACAGAGTCATCCAAAAGTTGAAAGAGTAAGGCAGGAGTTGCTCCCTTATGTAAACCTAAAAATAGAATAGAGTGTGTTAGGACACATCAGTCAAGGGAACACTGGTGCTGAATTGAATCCAGAACACTCAGGACAGAAAACCTTCCCTGGAGACCAGAATCCAGTCTGCCACATGTTAAAAGTGAGTTCACGGTGGAAAATTACTTTATAATGGGAATTATTTTTAAGAAATATGAGAGTAGAAATAAGACGATGTTTGGTGATATCATTGTTATCATTTCATGATGGTTGTTTAACTGTGAGGGAAAATCCCATATATTTGTAGAGAAAAGAAAATAATTAGAGGGGAAAGAACTTGAGGAAGTTCTTCAGTGAAGTTTATGATGGTATAAAACTGCAGAAGAATTAAGAGGCTTGGATGTTAGGCTGAATATATGGAAAAATAACGAGAGAAAATTATTTGAAATATTTTATCAGATGGGATCACTATAGGTTATTTCTATTATAAAATTACATGACTTTTCCAAATTTGCCATAATGGGTAATCTGACCAGAAATAGAAAAATGGACAATACATATCCCTTAGGCCCCTGCAGCATCTGAGGAAACACTTCTTAGAGACCTAAAAAGTGGAAGAAAGAGAAAAAAGTGCCTATCAAGACTAAGGAAGAGAATCAGTATCAGAGATCACTTACTGGGTTGTTGTGATGAGCTTCACAGTGGTGCATTGATATAGTCAGAATAAGAACGATAGAAAAAATATTAATGATTTAATATTGATAAAAAACTATAGACGTTAACTGAGAAAACAAGATAAAATCAAACAGAGATGAATTTAATCATAAAGCATAGTTTAAAAATATAATTGGTAAAATCAAATTAAAACCAGACCAAAAAAATATTCTGAGTCAACACATGTGATCTTGCCTTGACTTTACTTGGTCACTATCAACTTTAGATAAATCTAATGCCTTTAAAGACTGATATTTTGCCACAGAGCATGAGTGCACATAATATGGCTTTTATAATTTTAGTTATATTGTTATACAATGTTGATTAGTGAGAACTAACTGTGAAACCACTCTGGCATAAACCATGCAATAGATTTTTGAAGCATTGATTTTCACTGGAGACAGAAGTCTCGATACTAACAATGCCTCAGACCACTAGACAGGAAAAGGCTGGATGAGAGGCACTTCATTAATAGAATGAAAACTAGTTCTTCATGCACAGAGGCCATTAAGAAGACCTTTTGTCAAATTTATCACCTTGTGGTACATAAGAGTAAATCAAAAATCAAGGATAATTGCAATTTCTCAGAAATAGACTCCATTCGTTCCAGCCATAGAGCTTCCCTTTATGATTCTTTTTGCTGTTATTAAATAAAATGCATGAAAACTAATATCGTCTGAAATTTTCCACATTTAAGTGGAGAAAAAAGTTTAAAACAATTCTTAAAGGAAGAGTGTTGTCAAAACTTCTGGTACCTAAATATTAATGAAGAGACAAATATGTCCATTTATTATACATTCGAAATGAGAGAATTGTAAAAGGTTTCTATATTGATATTGCTGATTCAACAAACAATTCTAGCATCTCTATCCAAGTGAATATTGAAAGTCTAACAATTTAAATAAACCAAGAAGTAATAGTTCTCTTTAACAATTAGTTGAGATAACTCTGAAACAATTTCCTCTGAATTAAAATGTAGATACATTCACATATGTGCCTCAATTTATTATTAAATAATATTTTAAAAAGCAAACATAAATATAACTATAAAACAATAAACAATAATGCTCATTATGCTACTTGTTTAAAAACATTAGCACATTTATTATATAAATTTACTGAATTTTTTACTATATAAATTATTATATTAATGTTTATAAAATAGTAAGAAAAATAATAATATATAAAACATTAAACAAGAGCAAGAATATTATAACATTTTATTTAATACATAAAGTCAGGATGCTAAATATCCTCATAGCTTTATTAATTATTCAATTTAAGAAAATAAATACAGTAGACCCTGTATCAGTTGACCACCCAAAAGGACTGTAATAGGTTAGTTAACATACACCGGTGGTCAACATAAGGAACTAGGCCTACTGTAGTGATATGTACATGTGGTACATGTCCAGTCTATGAAAACCATGTCAACTTAAGGAGGTGGTCACTGTAGGGATCCAGTCAACTATGAAGGCTCTTCTGTATTACTAGAATGATTAACTTTTATGTCTTAATTTATGTTTAAAATTCTTTAGTGTACTTAAAATTTTCCTAAATAATTCCAAATAACTAGTCTTATTTAGGTAACTAGATATTGCTGTCTGGTGTACCATATGGTGACAATATGTTATGCTTTTCTAAATGATGTGAGCTGTGCTTGAGAATGCGTTATAATATTATTTTTTGTCAACATATTCTTGTTAATATTTAAGCTTTATTTTTTTCTCTTGTGGTAAAATATACACAATATAAAATGTACTATTTTAACCATCTTAAATGTACAACTCAGTGGTATCAATTATAATTACATTGTTTATAACTGTTACCACCATTTATCTCCAAAACATTTTCCTCAACATCTTTTATGTGAATTGTCAAAAAATTTCCCTTATAAATATATATTATACATATTACTACATGAATTTGCAGAGTTCATATGAAAGCAGTTGAGTGATAACAAAGTTGCATGAGCTACTATAAAATAATTTAGTCTTGGGTGGTGCCTGTGGCTCAAAGGAGTAGGGCGCCGGACACATATACTAGAGGTGGTGGGTTCAAACCCAGCCCCAGCCATAAAACTGCGAAAAAAAAAAAAA